AGTTCAGGACAAACATAATGTATTAAATAATTAAAAGATTGTATATTTTGATTTTCAGAGTTATAAAAGGGCGTAGATGCAAGGACACCATACTAGCAGAGCATACCTTGCAGCCAGATCTTGGTTTCTGTGCATCATTCTCAACTACAATGCACCAGAGTATGCCGGATAAATGACTTATTCTAGTTCTGAGGGAAGAACAGTATAATATGGACCTGGGAAATCTTCTTTTATCAGAAGCTAAGGAATTATTTATTAAAGACTAATGGTATATTGTTGAAAGGAAGCAGCTTAAAAGTTCTCTCCCTGCCTGAGAATATTCACCTAGAATAACCAAAACCAATGCCTACTCTAATAAATTTAGTGGACTTTAAAGAAAAAGAAAGTCCTTTGGGTATCTAGGGCAAAAAAAGTAATGACTCAAGGAAATGAAAATTAGATTGCCATCATTCTTTTTGACAGAAACATTTCATACTTGAAGAAAATAGAGTGACATATTTAAGATAGTCAAGGAAAGAAAATGTGAATCAAGCATTTTATACATAGCAAAACTGAAAATCAAGTATAAAAGGCACACACTATTATCAATATATAAGAACTCAGGAAATATTGTTCCCATGAACCCTTCCTGAGAATTCTATTGGAGAACGAGCTTCAGGCAATTTTTTTCTTTTTTTTTTTTTGTTTTTTAGTAGAGATGGGGTCTCGTTCTTGTTCAGGCTGGTCTCGAACTCCTGAGCTCAAACAATCCGCCTGCTTCGACCTCCCAGAGTGCTAGGATTACAGGCGTGAGCCACCGCGCCCGGCCCAGGCAATTGAAATGCCCAGAGAGACATGGACATAGGATTGGTGATGAGCATTAAATACTTATTAACTTGTGGAATCAAGACTGAAAGGTGAAAGTATAGTATGTAGCGGCTATATGCTGTGTTGATGCAGTTACACAAAAATAAAGTTGAGCAGATAATAGGCAGATCACATAAAAAATTAACTCTCATTAGGTGACTGTTTTGTTAAACACAGCATTGTTTACCATGACTTGGTAGAAAGGATCAAAAGTAACCTTAGAAAGATTTCTAAGGGATACATTGTTTACCGCTTCTCGATCAAGAGCATCCTGGAATTCTTTAAGTCGTCTTTCCTCATATTGTTTTTCTCTGAAAATTCTGTTTTGCCACAAAACTTCCTTTTCATGCCGAACGTGCATGAGCTGCACCGCGATCCTGCGCTCCTGCTGGGACTGCCGCATCAGCCGGTGAATCAGCTGCTCCTCCCGATAGGCCTCCTGCAACACCAGGGGAAAGGCCAATGATTTGTCAAAGCAGTGTCCACATTTCCCACTGGACTAAGAAGCCTGTATATAAATAATGCATAAAAGATATAATATTCATCTAAATTAGTTTTGCCATTTGATTTAAATTTGAACGTGGCAAAAATTAAGCTATAAAAACAAGAACTTCCAACAGAAGTTGTATTATTTGAGTATCTAGAACCATTATAGTCTTGCAACTGAAATTACTTTAAATGAATTATTACTACCTTTAAAATCTGGTTAAAAATAAGTTAGGTGATTTTTTTCAAGTTTTATAAACAAGCTATATAATTATCAATGTATAAGCATGTTTTCAGAAGTTTGGAATTGCGTTATATTCATTCCGACACAACTACTAGTTGTAAAACAAATGCAGCCATTGTCAGCTGAGGATGGCAGATCTGATTACCTCCCAGTGGGGACATCTCAATACCAGTGTGAGGAAAAGCTAAAAATTGACAGAATGGGAAGTCTGGAGAAAAAGCTAAGGGGAAATGGCCTATGGCTTATCTTAGAAAATCTGAGTGGTCATAATCCAGATGTATTCTTAGCTGTTTTAAGAGACTAGAAGGGGACCAGTAAGCAGTGGAAAAGACATGATATTTAATACAACTGAGACACAAACAACAATAACACTCTGTGGTAAATGCTGAAACCTGAATTGGGGAACTGTTTAAAAATGTGGATTGAATAAAAGTTCAACTGAAAATACATATGAATTTTTTCCTGTTAGTAAGATGTATTAGAGAAAAATTAAGTCATGAGCAACTTTGTCTAATCTAGCTACAAAATTCTGACAGCTTTAATGTTAACAATTTGTTTTCTTTTGAGATCCAATATTGGAGGTAAGGCAGTATGTCAAAATGGCCACAAGTTCTTCCCTTTTATTCATCCACCGCCTTGTAATATTACCCTGTGGATATCCTCATTAAAAAGTAGAATCTATTTTCTACTCATTAAATAGGGTGTATGGGGTGATCACTAACTTGAATTGACCAATGGGACATCAGAAAAAAAAAAAAAAACAGGAAAAAAACCTCAATTACACTTGGGGTCTGAGTTTCTTAATTTTCCCTGCCACTGCCACCATGTACATGACCTGGATGCTAGAAAATGAAAGGCCTTATATATAGAGGCACCAGTCTTCCCAGTTGGACCTGATGAAGCTATCATAAGTCAACCATCCTCACCAACCAACCAACTGACCAAACTCATACACGCAAGCCCAGTTGAGATCAGCAAAAGAACAGCACAGCTGAGCCCAGCCCAAACTGCCTACACATTTTGGGGTGGTTTTGGATATATGAGGCACAGTCCCACCATATTTCTGAAAAATATGAACTTGCTTTATTATTTCAGGCGAATTCTAGGAGATTGGTTGTGTTTATATGGTAAGGCACTTTCGTTGTCAAGATGAAAGATTTAGTCATCTCAACCCTTACGAAGAACAAATTAGATTGGCCAGTTATGTTTTGATTATTGCTGGATGAAACACATTAAGATAGGAAAAAGAAGAGATAATTACCAGGGAATAGCTGTGTCAATAATATGCATATAAAGCTTTAGAATGAAGAGCAAGTGTATTAGGACCTGTACTAAACAGCTGAATGGAAAAGAAGATTTATATTTTTGTTCCATTGTATAAATAGTTCATGATTTAGATTTCAATGAAGTGCAGAATATATTTTCTCATAGAAACAAAGACATGAGCTATGGTTAGGTACTTGGGGCATTCTATAGATGACTATTTAACCCAGAACATAGATGAAATGTTCTGTATTTGCAATGAGTAAAATGGAAAATAATAAAAGACATGCTTCTATTTTAATTATAATTACCATATTTGGGGAAGATTTAGACAGATATACAATTCAGAACAGTCTCAATTTGATTTCTAGGCCTTCTACTTCTCCCATGAGTTGGAGCTAGGAACTTATTCAGGTCCATAACTATTGCTTAATTTTCCAAAGATGCCCAAGCAACTCTCATGGAGGAATGGGGCACTGCAGAAAAGACCTGACAGGTAAGTATTCAAGGATCTTTTAGTTAAGAAGTAAGGGAGAGGACTGGTGTTCAAATACTAATTCCAAGGAAATAGCATAGAGAAGGTTCTTGAAAGGCAGAGACAGCTAATTTGGGCCAAATCTTAAGAACTAGCCAAGATATTAGCCAAATGACCACAGAACCAGGTAGGAGCCAAATTGTGTTCCCTGTCTGAACATGTCCACCTAAATGCCTATGAAATACTTTAAACTCAACGTAACCAAATCTTTCTCATTAATATATTATATGTATACACTTTAAATTGTCTTCTAAAACGCAATTTTTAATGATTTCACGGTGTTACATTGTTTTAATTGGTTATGATTTACTAACCAATTCCCTATTTTTAAAAAATTGTAAACAGTACTTTATTGGGCCCCTTAAATTTAGAATAAAATTTTATGTATTTGGAAAAATAAAAACAAAACAAACTAAACTCACTAACTCCCCTTCAGACTTCATCTTTTTCTCTCAGTTGACAACTTTACAATAATCTACTCTGTGATCTAAGACATTAGGGCCATCCTAAGTTCATTTCTCTCTCATCACTCCAAATATCCGATTCTTCAAGAAGTAGTCTACTGCACCTCCTATACGTGTTTAAACCACCTCCTTACTCTATACCACACTCCCTGACACCACCTCTACCTTGGACATCAGCCCTTCCCTACCAGGCCTTCCCCCACCATCCCTACCCTCAAAACCTCTTCTCCAGAAAGTCAAAGTGATCTTTCTAACCTTAAATATCATCATTTAATTCATACAACTCCATTTATTTATGAATCACAAGGCAAAATATCAACTGGAGCACAGGTCTTTGGCTCTCTCTTCATAAGCCAAACTAAAACGAAAGTACATAAATCCCAGGGGGAAACTGCAACAACTTGGAAGCTAGGAGAGATATTCTGAGATATTTCTGATAGATCCAGTGCAAATGGCACCAGAAGAAAGCATCGAGGATTGACATAGGATTCATGCCATGTTTCTGAAAAGCAGCAGGTATACCATTTTCTCTTTGCATGGACAGTAAACAGGCCATGATGCACATGGAAATTTCCCATTCTACCACTGTGGACTAGCATCCCTTGTGTCAGCTGCACAAGGAGGCTAGGCACATTATACTCAATGAAAAGGAGGCAGTGAGAGTGGAGGCCCCTTGCTGCATGACCCAAGCCTGGTTCTAGGAATAGCAACTTCCCTAAACACAAAGAAGAAACAGCACAAGACAGGCTTCCCATGAGAGAAATATCCAGAGCCCTGACTCTTTTTTTATATCCCTTGGGTTGCCGAATTCCCAAACTAGTAAACATATCTCCATCTATAGTTTTGAAAATTCAATGCTAATGGGATCACTGTAGAAAGCAAGGAAAGCTAGAGAGAGTTCATTTATCCTATTTTCCAGGTAAATACCAGGCTTAGAGTATAAACAGAAAAACACTAAGAAAAAACCTTGCAGCCAACACACAAGTGTTTTGTAACATAAATACAAATGTGTGCAAAATTCCATTGTTAGGAAACTTACAATGAAACCTGAAATGGGTAATTATTTTAAAACTTACTTTTCAATTATCTAGTTCTCATAATTTTCCATTCTTCTAATAAAAAGGGAGATGATCAAACTGACTAAATAAAGATATAAGTGAATTTGAAGAAATAACCTTCTAGCACAAAGAGATATGCAGAGTTATTCTTTGAACTTTCACTAAGAAAGGAATGGAATCTATGGATAAATAGTTTTACTTCTTCATACTTATATGAAGCCTCTATTTCTTTCAGTGAATAGAACCACTAAGCAGACCAGATGTACTTAGGTGAATAAAAGAAGTGTCTTCAAATGGTCTTTCATGTTTTAGACATACAGATTTGTCCTATTTACATTCACAACTGAAATCATCTTCCTCCCCAAGCCAGTTCATTTTATGATCTTCCTTATCGCAGCAAATGACACCTCCATTCACCAGGGTGTGCAAACCAGAAGGCCAGCTTTTCATCCTACCTTTTCACTCCCCGTGTCTAATGAATCATTAAGTCCTATTAATCTTACTCCTACAATAGCTCTGGAAAACACTTCTCTCAATCCATAATATATTAGATTTAAACGAGATAATCTCTTAACTGGATTACAGCAACAGCTATGCCTTGTTTTGCTCTCCTATAATCTATTCTCCAAACTAAAGCCAGAGTGATTTTTCTAAAAGAAAATCTGATCTTGTCACTCTTACTCCCTTTTGAACTCAAATAGAAATTGCAAAATCTCCTATTTTCCTCTGAATAGCTTACAAGACTCATTATGATTTGGCCTCAGGTAACTCCTACCAGATAACATGACTTGTAGTTAGCTAAAAGCATGGAGCCTTCCCATGTGATATTCTCTCCTCTGGAAACACACTTCACTTTCCACTATTTTAGCCTTCCCTGGAAACTATCCCCCACCCCTACTCCATCACAACTACAAACCTTCAATTAGCTAACTCCAGTCCCTTCTTCACGCTCCTGCTATCATCCTCCAGACACTGTCCCCTGAACCATGCAGTGGGTGTCCCTCCTAAGCGTCAAGCCCCTCATCACCTTCATGGCACTTCCATGCTCTAATGTACTGACTTGTTTATAGATCCTCTGCTACACAGTAAGCTCTGTGTGACCAGGTTTCTTGCTATTCTTCCTCAATGCTTTATCTCTGGGCCTAGCATAAATACTCAGAGCACAGAAGAGTTTCAGCAAATATGCGTTCAATGTAAGAGCTGATCAGTCATTCTCACACGATAGCTGCATCAGAATCACCTAGATAGCCTGTTAACTCAGATCACTGGGCCCCACCACCAGTTTTTTACTCTGTTTGGGGTGGTACCCAATGATTTGTATTCCTAAAAGGCCCCAGATGATGCTGGTACTGCTGGTCCAGGAACCACATTTTGAGAACTACTGGAAGGAGACTAATCAAAAAATGGAGAAGATGAACAACTTTTTTGTGTTGTTTCATTAAAATATTCCCTTTTCCTCTAAAAGTAAAAATAGATATACATGGTTGACAGAGACTTTAGATTCCTTTTTTTTGACAGTATTTTTTTTATTGCGGTAAAATATATATAACATAAAATTTACCATTTTAACCATTTTAAGAGTACAATTCAATTGTATTAAGTACATTCACAATGCTGTACAACCATCATCACATTTTAAATTTTTAGTAAATAGTTTTTTCCTAGTATGTCTGCCATAATGGCATGAGGATATGAAAGTGACATTTGATTTAGAGTGCCATGCATAGAAGCTACATTTTGTAAAATTCCCAGCACTATTATTTAACCAACATCTAAATATCTCACCTCTTGTGCTTCGTGGGCTATTAACTGGTCCATTAACAATCTCCGCCGTCTTTTCTCCCTTTGCTCTCGTGCAAAAGCATCTTCTTCTAGGCGCTTCTGGATTTTTTTAATGTAGTCATCATCCGAGTAAGTGTTTAACAAATCGGTAGTTGTCTGGCCTGCTGTATCTAAAGAAGTCTTGGATGCACTAAGGACAATAGTTTTTATTTTTAAAAAATAATGTGATCACATGCCACTACTTGTGACTATGGAGAAAGACGTCAGGAGAAGGCTCCTTTGAGTTCTCTGTTAATTTATTAATGCAAACATTGAAGTAAATATTAGAACTCAGTGTGATACCCATAGCTTATCAATAGATGCCATTTGCTTCACTCCATTTCTGAACTCTATCTCTGTGAGGTCTTTAGCATGGCTTTCTTCCTAGGCCTATCACCTTTTTGTTGTTTTACTTTTTATGATCTTCACTCTACCCAGAGATTCTGGATTTTTCTTCCTCTTCTTACTGCTGGGTCTGGGCCTCTTGCCTCCCCTGTGTTGAGCCAACAGTAGGCAGACAACTGATAACTCAAGTATCAGGGAAGGCACAGCTCTACAACAGCAGGCCAGGTGCACTGATGTTAGGTCACTAGAGAGTGGTCTATGGATGCTTCCATCCACTATTGCTCTCCTCTCACCTATGAAATGCAAGTTGCTCTGTGCACTCCCAGACTGCTTAGGACAGTGGCTCGCCCTTGTTGGAAACTCAGCAGTTGAAAGCTGACTTGCTTATCATGCCACATTCACAAGCCCAAGTCTGACCTGGCTCCTTGCCCTTATCCTAGAGACCCAAGTGAGAAGACCCACCTCAGAGCCCTTGTCCTACCTCATGGCAAAAACTTAAGGAACAGGAAGAAGCTGGTAGTCTTCCCCAAAAAAAGTAAACACATTCAATTTAGTGAGACAAATAGTAGCTTAGTACAGAAAAATTTATACATTCATTCAAAATTTATCATTAAAGTGAAAGATATATTTTTATGACTATAAGGATCAAATAATCATCAATTCTCATCTGCATATCTCTTTAAAAAGTAAACATAACAGTATAATAGCACAAGATACATCATAATGTTACTTGCCAAGAAACGATGAATTTTTATATTATGAATAATCATTGTTTTTATGGTACAAGTAGTTATTAACGTATTTGGTTTAGAATATAACTTACAATCTTATTCTAAAAACAAGAACACATTATTAAAATGTATAGGGACTAAGTAGTCATCAATTCTCATATAGACAGAAGTGCTCTTGTAAAAGCATAATTAATGTTTAATGATATAATAATGCATATTTATAACACAGATCATATTGCATTTTAGGTCATAATTTGTAGGTTTGCTGCTCCCAGTTAAACTCTGAGTTAATAAGAGAAATATCCTATTTTCCTCCTCTTAGTACCTGTGTTTCTTATGCCTGGCAAATAGTTGATGTCTGCTAAATTTTAAATAATATGTGAAGAATCACTGTATGAGCATAAAAGTCACACTCTAAAATTATGATTATTTTATTAGCAGAGGCTCAACCTTTGGTTCTATTCTTTTATTATTATTATTATTTTGAATTTTCTTTCTTTGCCATATACCAAGAGATTTGGTTCTATTCTGTCACTGAAAGGAGTTGAGTACAAATTGTATAGCTACCAAAGACTCCCTAAGGCCAAAGACAGAGTTTAACCTTATTTATTCATTAAGATTTAACATTTAATTAGGCATTTAATTGTATGGCGTATCACTTTTAGATCATTTATAAAAATTCTTATTACAGTTTTACTTAAGTGTGTTGTTTAAAAGATTCTGCCCTGGATTGAGCATGGGTTAATAGCTCTTTCAACATTGCACTTATGCTGCCAATAATATATTTAACACATTGCTTGTCCTTTATTTATCAGTCAGTCTATCCATCCATTCATACATCCATCTACTGTCATATTTCAATAAAGGTATAAAGAAAAGTTTAAATATTCTTAATATTTACTTGAATAAATATTCATTTTATTAGATGTGGGTTTCCTGAGGGCAGTGATTATATTTTCTTTATATCTATTTGCTTGCCAGACCTCCATAGAGGCTAATAATTCAATGTGTATGAATTATTCATAAAAACCAAGGTCAAAAAAGCAGTTGCTAGGAAAAGCCTCAGAGAAATCAATTAATCCAAAGGCCAAATTATAGCTGCCAATAACTTCAGCTAAATAAACAAATAGCAGATAGTATTTATTGTCTAAAAAGTAAAAAACTGGAGAAACTTTGTTACATGTAGGGAAAAAAGTAGCCATTGGAGCCCTTGTATTGCCAGCATTGAGACATCGTATCATTCTTCCACAAAAGAAAAAAGGCAGAGATTGAGGTGACATCCTTGAGGAACTGTTCAGGAGCAGGCTGTAACAGAGGCAGCTGCAGAAAGTTCTGCTCAGGTTCAAGTTGTAAGAAGATGTTCGTGCTTTCTGGCATCAAGTTAATGTAAAGTTTCTCAATGATCCCAGAAAATTCTTGATTCTAAGCTAAGAATTCAGAATGAACTAAAAAAGTAGTGATTAATAAAGGAGCTTAAGAAAGGCCATATCATACCCATAGCCTTTGTTTTCCTTAAAAGTTTGTTCTAGACCAGTGTGTCCCAACATTTTTCTTTTTCAGGCCATCAGAGAAAATTATCTTCGTGCAGCACACTGTAAGGAATTCAGAATCTCAGATGAGGCTGCTCACAGCCAAAGATAACCGGTCCAGGACTTCAGCTTTCCCAGGTCCCATCCTGTTGCCCTGAGAAGTGAGGGTGTCAATATCTCATTCATTTCTATTACATGAGAGAGAAGTAAACTTCTGATTCAATCCACTGTGGTTTGGGGTTTCTGAAGCTAATTGAAAGAGACCTAGGGTCAGGCTGGGTTGGCGAAGGCCATAAGAAGCAGGGCAGATGTCTGCAGCTGTATTGTGCAGGGATAATCTTTAAAACATTTAGTAAATGACATGGAAAAGACACTAATCATCTGAATGGGTACTGGGATACAGGCTTAGAAGACACTGCTGTCCTTGGTGTTAACTGTGGTTGCTAAATTGTGCAGAACTTAAGGGTCCCAGGAAAGGGGCTCACTGAGGAGTTATAAAGAACAGTGTTCACCAACAAATGTTAATAAAAAAGGTGTTTCAATAATTTAAGATGGTCTTTCTGGTAGACACCATCTGTTTATCTCCACAGAGCATGTGGCTGGTGAGGTAAGTGAAAGAAAAAATCAGGTGGTTTCATAGGCCAAGGTCAGGGTGGGTGTGGTAGGGTTTGGGTGGTGGCAACACGGATAAATAGACTTGGATTATGTTGTTCTTAGGTGTCAGGAGCAATGCTGATAGATGGAAGTGGGGTCAGAATATGCCATCTGGAGTTTCTGCAGAGGGCACGAAGAAAAGTAATTTACATATGTATTCTCCATTTTGCTTGATGTTCCTTCCACACCTGACTTCTTCACCATTTCTTTCTTGTGTCTTTTTCTTTTCCTCATTTGACTGTATTTAACCCTTCCTTCAGAAAATATTAATATGGAATTGAAGTATATAATGTGTTTCTGATTTTCTTGTTTAGAATTAGTATCTTCTTTAATAAAAATTTATTTCATATTCCATAAGACATAAATGAGTAGAGTTTGCATCATTTCCATTTAAAAATGTCAAAAAATCTGAGTTACTCCTACATATATAGTCTCTAAGGGATTATTTTCTGAATCAATGACCTTCAATAGGACACAAAGTAGTAAGGGATCTTTATCTTTAGGCAAATGAAGCCCATTAACTAGGCATTTTTTGCAGTAAACTCATCAAACTGGCTGTCTTAGTGACATTTGGTCAACAAACTCATTCAACAACTCTTTACTGCTGGTCTCTGTACTAAATGCTGAGGATACAGCATGAGAGAAATCAAACTAGAGTCTAATAAAGGCTTTACTGTGACAAATTTAAATTAGTGGTATATTGAAACAATTTTAGTAATGTTTAAAAAATGTGTCTGAACTAAGAAGAATAAGCATAGCATAGACAAACAATTTCATATTTCATAATAACCGCTTTCTAGATCTTTATAAAAGTTATTAACAAACAATCTGAATTTTAGCTCATTTATCTTCTCTCATATACTCTCTGAGTAAAGATTCTCTAAAGTAAAAAGATCCTTGAAATAGCTATTACAGATAAACTATTTCTAAATATTAAAAAGCTATATATAGAACAGAATACAGTTATGTGATTATTAAAAGAGTTCAAATCCCACCTTTCTTTTGCCTGGAGATCCTTTTTTATTAATGCTTCAAACTTCTTAATTTCGTTAGCCACATCCTTTAAAGAAAATTCATCATCAGTTATCTTCCTCTAAAAGCTATTGAAAAATCTCCATTTATCATATTCATTCAAGTTTATAAGGTGATGTGTACTACTAACTCAAGATTAAGAGCCAAGATATTAAAAGCTTCATTCTAGAATATTTTTATAATTTTGATTTGTTATTTTTGACTGGTATAACTATACATAAAAGACTGTGAAAATTGCCTAACCTGAATCATTCAGTTCACGATTCTAACTCTGACAGTGCACCAAGGGGCATCTAATGAGAGTGAAGATTATCAAAGAATCAGAACATGTGTTTTATGGATTTAAATATTTCTTTAAAAATTGCTATCTCAGGTGTTTTAAATACTCCTCATGCAACCTTACCTACATTATTAATTTGTTCTTTGAAAATTAGTTCTTTGAAAAAACAGTAGCTCATCCTTGTTATTACAAATTCTTATTAATAAACTTTAATCCACTCAGAGACATATGAGAGTTAAATATTAAAATGGCATCAGAAAAAAGGCTCTGGATAGTACTTTTTAGAATCCAAGGACAGGATATTTTGTTAGTATTAAAAAAACAAAGAAACTATGGATTAATATAATGCAATGGATTTAGGACTCAGATCTGTCAATCTCTGCTTTATCAGCACTGTGAATTTGAATGAAACATGTCGGCATTTTGGGTCTAAGTTTCTTTATCTACAAAACGGGGAAAATAATGGTCTACTTAGAGAGTTATTAACGAGTTAACAATAATGTGAAGTGCTCAACCCACAGCCAAATGGTAGAATTAATCCTCTTCTTAGGTTGCACTAGAGAATATCAACAATCACTGTAACCATAAGCAGTGTAGACTGCAGGAATTAGTACCAAAATACAGTATTGCTCCCCTATAAAATATAATTAGATTGTCTCCTATTGGAATGATTGACAGCTGTTATGGTCTAGTAAAATATCACTAATGTAGATAATCTTAAATTTAAATATACTGATAGCAACGAGTCACTTAACATTTCTGGGACTCAGAAAAATAATGCTGCATGATGAGAAGGAATTGAGTAAAAACGTACAGTAGGAATGATATATATAGAGTATGTGCATTTAGGCCTCTGCTGTACCCATGGCAGTTATGACCCATTACTACAGCACCTATTCTGACCTAGTTTTTTAGAGACCACAGAATCCTTCTCAACACAGAAGTCCAGACTAGTGCTGCCATTTAATAGGCGTTTTCCATCCCCAACCTTAAGCTACAGTTTTCGTTTCTGAACAAGTAACAGTATAGAACAGATTGGATATGCATAGAGCAGAGGAGTTCCAAATGAGAAGAGACAAGACCAGAAATAATTTGGAAAGACAGTGAGAAGTTTTAGAAAGTCTCTCTATATGTTTTGGAGAAAGACCATCCTTTGATTAAGATAAACACAACATAATTTTAAAGAATTATCACTTACCTCTGCCTCTTTTTTCTTTTTCATCATTTTTTGTGCCTCAAGTGCTTTCAAAGTACAATTTGATGTAGGTTTAGGAATCTGTATGATAGCTGCTTGGATTTGGGCCATTATTTCATTTTGTCGTCTTCTGCTTACACGTTGCTGAGTATCCCAAATACATTAGTTTAGTATTCAGTTTGTCAGAATAATGGGCAATGCTATACACTCATAGATACACATACATACAATTTTTATATTGAAATAGTTAGAACCCAGCAATTAACCAATGAACTAGGTGTCACAATTGTGTAATGTTAAGAAGCAGGTATCAATATGACCTATTTTGGAAAGTGTAGTGTTAGAACACAATTTTAGAATCCCCAAATTATGTCTATCAAATGTCTGTATTTTCATCCTGTGTGATGATACGAAAAGGATAATAAAGATGTTCCAAATACAAAGAAGAGTACGATTGTTTCCCAGTCCCACCTTCCTGACCTGACCAATCAAGGAAAGAGAAAATTCTATCTCTGAAGGTGGTCTGAAGACTGATTCTATCAAGGAGACAGTTTCTAGGAGGGTCTCTGGGGAACACAAAAGAAATGAGAAGGTCACTCAAAACCCAGTCACACTTAAACAATGAGTTCAAGAGCTACCTCAAACATTTAATTAATACTACATTATATATCATTATTGGACTATTTCTTCTGTATCTAGGAAGTAATTATTTTAAAAAGAATATAAGCAGGAGGACATAATGAAAGGGAAAAAAATATCCCTGAAAATCAGATGAAATATCTTAAAATTAAATTATTTAAGAGGTAATATGTGAAACTAATCATGACTTTACCACTAAAGCATTGTATTGGAACTAAAAAGATCCTTAGTTCCTATGTCCAAAGATAAGAAACTTCAATTTACCATTAAAGAGGCAAAAATTACAGATAATTTAAAAAATTTCATTTCATTTTTCAAAATGTCAATTTTTATCTAACTGTAATATGTTCATCTCTTTTTATTAAGAAAATTAGGCAAGGCCGGGCACGGTGGCTCACGCCTGTAATCCTAGCACTCTGGGAGGCCGAGGCGGGCGGATCGTTTGAGCTCGGGAGTTCAAAACCAGCCTGAGCAAGAGCGAGACCCCGTCTCTACAAAAAATAGAAAGAAATTTACCAGACAACTAAAAATATATAGAAAAAATTAGCCGGGCATGGTGGCCCATGCCTGTAGTCCCAGCTACTCGGGAGGCTGAGGCAGGAGAATCGCTTGTGCCCAGGAGTGTGAGGTTGCTGTGAGCTAGGCTGATGCCACGACACTCACTCTAACTTGGGCAACAGAGTGAGACTGTCTCAAAAAAAAAAAAAAAAAAATAAAATTAGGCAGACATAGGCTCTCCCTTTTGCCCCATTTGCTTCCTATGATCATTTTTAAAACAGTTTATTTCAGAATATTTAATGGTGTCATATTTCCTTTTTTCCAGCTTTTTTGGGAGACTTTCTGCATTAGACTTGGTACTTCAAAGTTAGACAGACTGCTTCCATATAAATTAGATTCCTAGCACTTGGTCTTGACTTAAACACTACTTTAAGAATAGTTTGTCTCTTTCCCATGCAATGTCAAAGGAAAGTACAATCCTTTATTCACTCTGGCAAGTAATAGAATCATGAGATCTTCCAGAGTTTGTCTTTCATCTTTTCTTCCTTCCCTACAAGAAGCTGACTATATTCATTCAGCATATGTTAATTTATTATCATGCTAAATGTATGAATTTAAAAAGTGATTTTACAGTGCGATGGGAAAAACAATAATTCTTTTGCCTGTAGTTTACACATTCCATATACCTAGTCACCTGAAATTATCTTAAAAGTCTTTAATGATTCCATGCACCACTGTCCTTCCATGTCATTAAAGGGACAAGAGATCATTAAAGATTTTTAAAGAAATTTAAGGAGCAAAGATTTTAATCCAGTACGGAGTTAGTCAAAGCAAGAAGCAAGGGCCAGGAAGAAGAATTGTTCAAGGTGATTGAGAAGGTAAGCAAGTATAGAATTACCCATTTCCACAGAGAAAGAAGTGAAGCAGAATAGAAAGGCCGAGGGGCTAAAAGAAAGGGGGAAATGGCTGCTTGTCTCCCTCAGTGGTGACAAAGGGCATGAGTCTGTGATTAGTGGGGAAGTTGGTAGCACCCCCCGTCACACAGGCAGCCGAAACATTGATTTCTACCAGAGAAAGAGACCAAGCTGTCTTGCCACCCCAGAGAATGGCAGTTCTTGTTCTTAGTCACAAGCAGAGGTGACAGTCAACGAAAGTAGAGATGGAGAGAATGGGAAAGCAGAGGGAGAAAAAGGGTGAGGGTAGGGCAGGGCAAAGTCATGCATCAAGCAAGTTAACCTTGTACTACATTACCGCTTATGCAATGTGTACTATAGGCATAAATCACAAACAGCATATATATATTATGCACTAATGAATTTCTGGAAAAATTATTCTATAAAACCTTTTCAATTTTAAAACATCTTTGTTCTTCCTGGAGTTTTTGAAATCTTTCAAGTTTGTCAGAATGCACACGGGCAAGATCTTCTTTCATGTATTTATGTTTTTCTTGAAACCTGTATGTAACCCGCATCAGATTGAAATCAGTTTGACGTGGTATCAGGTTTTTAAGTCTCTAAATGAAGAAAGCATTTCAAAAGATTTTATTAGAAAATAAAGAGTACCTTGTCTTTATAAGCACACATAAAATTTGTTTTCAAAATAAAATTTCTATGAATTACCATTGTTGACAGTTAAAATAAATTCAAGCCCCTACCAATTACTCATATCCTTAATTGATATGAGGACAATAAAAAATTATTTGAATTCCTTCTTAAAAAATAGTATCATATATACTTTTATAGTTGATTTTTTTCCCTAAGCTTAATTTTCAATAAATGATATTTGCATTCTTGGAAACACATTTTCACAAAAATAATTTTATAAAACCAATTTCAACATATAAGAGATAAGAAGATAGATTCTTCCCATTACTTAAGTCACTGCCTAGTAAAAAGTGAAAAAATATTAAAACCTCCTAGGCTTGAGTTTCAGCTCTACCACCTACTAGCTGCATAAAATTAAGTCAGTTACCTAATCCATTTGTGCCTCAGTTTCATTGTCTATAAAATGTGAATAATAAAAGTATCTATCTCATAGGGCAGTTGTGAAGATCAAGTTGGACAATATTCATAAAGCACCCGGAACAGGGCTTGGCACATCACTACGTATATTCAAAAAATTTCAGTCATTATTAATATTATTATAGATGCCTGTATGTCTTCCTATCTGGTGTCTAAGAAAAAGGCATCTCTACTTCTTTCCTAAGATATCTCTTCTACCACACAAGCCATTGATTGCACCTTCCTCTTTTCCTCCCTAGAGGACCTCTTTCCATTTGGTCTTTATACCATTTTGATTTTCCTGCCACTGATTATTTTTCTCAACTGACAAGTTGTCCCAGACTCTACATCCACAAAGCAAACAATCTCACACTTCGCTTGAGCTTCTCTCTCCTCAGCTACTGTTCTTATTTTCTCTTTTCTTTGCCTCCATGTTTCTTGAAAGAATAATCTATTGTCTTCTATTCCTCATTTCCAGTTTCCCCCTCCTTAACTCATTGCAACCATACCACCCTAATGAAACATTTTCTCATTCTGAAATGTAAGCTCTAAGAGAGTTGGGGCTTTCCCTATGTTTTTCATTGTGTAAATACTTGACATAAAGTAGGAGGCTAATAAATATGTGTTTAATAATGAATGATTGACTCTGGAAGCTCACCAGTGGCCAACATTAAACTTAATGGGCTCTCGTTTGTCCTCATCTACACAGCTCTTATACACTTGTCACTGTTTACTACTTCACAGTTCTTTGCAATATTACATACTGTCTTCTCGAAGCTACACAAAAGCCCAACTCTGAGGCAGGTAGAGATAACCATCCTTATTTTTACAGTTGGGAAAACTGAAGCTGAGTGCAGGGGCTGTTTCAAAGATAACCAGTTTGCAAGTGAAGGAGGCAGGATGCAATACTAAATTATTCAGATGTAAGCCTAATCTGATTGCTAGCTCTTCATGAGTGCTGAGTCCATTCTGGCTTATAAGGATGTTTATTAAGAATTGGAAAATCTGAAAATGGAGATGGCCCTCACATCTATTATGCCATTGTTGCTTGAAAAATTAAATTTAAAAATTTAATTGTCTCCATTTCTATTTAGTGTTTTGCTTCAGTACAGCATTCACTATTATCCCAGAGGCCTAGAGAAGTTAATGCACTATTACCATAAGGAGATCAAATAGGAACTGGCATTGTCAACTAAGTTGTATCAATTAATCAGAACACATTTAATGAGTATTTACAACATTCAAAGCACTAGACATATTTCTCAAATTTGAGATACCAAAAATATTGTGAGATCATATGACAAATAAATAGTGAACAGTTAGCCAACAATATCAGCATAAGGAGGTTAACACCCAGAGAGTGCAAATTACCTCTTCCCTAAGAGTTCCAAAGAAGAATCCATGTGTACTGGGCTGCACAGAAGTACATGGAGAAGAAAATTTGGGGGAAGAGGAGAGATGAGAAAGGTGAGATTGAGTAGGAGGGAAGAAGAGAGGAATATACAAATCATATTCAAGGATATACTGTCAATCAATGTAGAAGAAAGATTTTATGCTGGGGACTAGAAAGAAGTAAAAGAGAAGGTTTCTGAGCAGAAGAATCCAATGAAAGTGGAATATAGGGAAGATTCATCTAGCAGTTGCTTGACCTATAGCAGAAAGCATGGGAATTGGGAGACATGTCAGCAGGTTGTTGCAGTAGCTCACAAGGAGATTTAAGCAAAAATGATAGGGTAGAAATGGAAAGAGAGGAGCAGGCACAAAA